ATATATATATATATATATGTATATAGTATATATATATATATATATATATATGCATTTGTGTTTTATACCGACCGTTCAGTACTTTGTATATACTTGTGTTTTGGGGTATGATTTCGTTAACGCTCTGATCATTAAAATCGAAGTGTGATTTATTGCGTAGTGCGCGATGCGCAAGTACGTTTTGCGTTGAGATTTTCGCGTTTTTGGTACATTTTCAGGTGTCTATTAATTACAAGGATATGTATGCTATTGACCGTTCTTGCCGAGCTAGGTATGAAATTGTCTATTTGTTTGTGACGTGTATTGATGCTTTGATCTTAAACAATGGCTCGAAACACACCTTTCATCATGACACAATACTAAATTTGAACCACACAAACAGGAAGCGGATATGGTGTTGTGGGTAGTGGGTGATCACGATTGTATCGCGTACGACGGTACCTTCAACGACTACCGCAATGGCATTCTGAAGGAGATAGAGGAACAAGGCACCGAGCACGTCAACAGAGAGTCCTAAATGGATGCTCCTTAGGTGCACTAGACAGATACAGTCCTAAATGGATGTTCCTTAGGTGTACTGGGCAGATACAGTCCTAAATGGATGTTCCTTAGGTGTACTCGGCAGATACAGTCCTCAATGGATGTTCCTTAGGTGTACTGGACAGATACAGGCCTAAATGGATGTTATTTTGGTGCACTGTATATGTACAAGTATACATGGATGGGTATATTTCATGTGTATATTCACAGTATAGTACCGTATATGTATAGGTATACATACCTTGATACAATTCATGTGTATATACACACTTATGTATATATTGGCTGTCCGACAGCATACGGCACGAGCAATCTCCAGAGTAGAATCATCTCCGAACTTTTGTAGGAACCTCGATTATTGTCCAATTTTTTGGCTGAAAGCGGGCCTTAGACAATGATCGAGGTCTTACTGTATACATACCGTTTGTTGTGATGGTTTGGTTACGGTCCAGTGTGACTAATCGCAGAGCATATGTCGTATCAAGTATGCCTGCTTTGCACTGGCCAGGCATAGTGTTCTGTTCTGGCTAAATGTGTGCCAGTGTGATGCAGACACTCGCCGTGCGCTATTGGTAGTCGCGTACTGTATCATATCACACCTATTGTAGTGCAGTTGCTCGTCTATGTGTGCACGTGGTGTAGCTATGCTGCGATCACTAGTAGGTTAGAGTAATGGATGCACAACAGTGGAATGGCTGGTATCACAGTCGCGACAGGATTCGGATCTATCTGTAAACGTGCCGTGCGGATCCAATAACTTAGTTTAGAAATGTTCCAATCAAAATAAACAAAATTGTACAAGAATGTTCCAATTCAGATCAAAACTTATACAGGAATGTTCCAATTCAAACAAATATTTGTACATAAATTCGATTAATTGTACAAGAATGTTTAAATTCAATTAAATGATTGGACAGGAGAAACAAGACATACAGCTCTCGTATGGATTCCCGGCTTTAAGGCAGTGATTGATGTGGGTTCTGTTTGAAATTTGGAAACATTCCATTTCGGATTTAATTCTGTTCAAAGTATATTCAATTTTGTATAGTGATAATATTATTTATTTCAATTTGGATTTTTTTTTAGGTCTACCTGTACATCGGGCCATGATATCATGCGGTATTAAAGCGATCGCGCCAACTATTTCTGGGCGCCAAAGAAATATCTACTAGTAGACATCGCATACTCTCACAGCGATACATAAGTACACATCAGTTGAAGACGTACAAGTGCACATCAGTTGAAGACGTACAAGTGCACATCAGTTGAAGTCACACAAGTGCACATCAGTTAAAGTCACACAAGTGCACATCGGTTCAAGTCACACAAGTGCACATCAGTTAAAGTCACACAAGTGCACATCAGTTGAAGACGTACAAGTGCACATCAGTTAAAGTCACACAAGTGCACATCAGTTAAAGTCACACAAGTGCACATCAGTTGAAGTCACACAAGTGCACAGTTGAAGACCACTGCAATTTCACAGACACGCTGAACTCGCTCTAGACTACATCCCACCACTTGCGCAACTATCTGTAGCA